TAAATTCATATGCATGTAGTGTAAATGTATATATGAAGAGTTCAGATGCAAAAGCCTCTAAATGCCATTTGAAATTTTCTTCTTTAATGATGATTTTTATCAAACTTGTATATTTAAGTTCAGTAATTTCACTTAAATGGCAATGATAATTACCTATTAATTGTTATTTAAGTGAAATTACTGAACTTAAATATACAAGTTTGATAAAAATCATCATTAAAGAAGAAAATTTCAAATGGCATTTAGAGGCTTTTGCATCTGAACTCTTCATATATTGATTATGCATTATAACATACAAAAATTACTACTTGCTTCAGCAGTGTAAATGATCTATGGAAATTAATATGCATATATATTTAAAGGGCGGGGCCAAGAGCTGTGGGATCTGGTGGAGTGGATGTTAAAAAGGAAGAGTGACGACAGTGGAAGACAAGATTTAAAGTCCTCCTTTGGTGAAAACCAAGCTTTTAATGTTGTTTATGTGTGTATGTGGTGTTTTTAATCCGCTTTAACACACACCGTGTGTAAGTTGATAAGTGGACAGCATTGCTGAGTATTTCCTCAGTGAACCAAAGACAGTCTCAAAAACACGCTTGACGTCACAAACCACCTTGTAACCAATCAGATCAACATGTGATCGTCAACCAGTGGATCTCTGAGTGAGTAAGTGGAGGCGGGGCTCATTTGAATATTCATAGAACCGCGCATACTAAATGAGGCGAGGGTGTCGAGTTACATTCAAGATATTTTAAGGAATGAAGAAGGAAAAAACGTTTAAATGTGTCATTTTGGTGATCAGCGATGAGTTTAAGGGATAAAATGATGGACCACAGGATGACTTGAAGATAGTGGTGACATCATGATTGGTCGGGAGGGAACGTGTAATCTGACATGTTTCTTGATAAAGGAGTCCACATTTGTATAATCTGACAGTGACAATTTTGGGTCAAATATGGACAAACCCAAACGTGTGGTTAAAAATGTAACCCAATGGCTGGGTTTGTCCATATTTGACCCAAATTTGGGTTAAAACAACCCAGCATTTTTTAGAGTGTGTTTTTGAACGGTAAAATTATCTTCAAGTGCAAGGCGTCATACTGTATATTTCAGGAAATGATTAGCTTTCAACAAATTAATTATTGACCGTTATTGTGTACACACGTGTGGTGAGTTTATAAATAGAATTTAAATAGAGAAAATTTTAAAAAATGAGAATAAAAAAAAAATCAGGAACAAAAAGAAACTAACACTTTAAGTTAGTTGAAAGTCTTTTTTGTGACATTGAGTTGCACAGTTTTCATTATAAGGACTTTTTTTTAACATATTTAAAATATATAAACAACAATAAAAGCTGGATTTTCACCACAGAGGGACTTTAACATTATGAATTTCAAGTTAAGTATGTTGTGTAATATCTCGAACACTATTAAAGTTTTTCTGACAGCAGAAAGAGTGTTAAAGTGGACGCTTGCTAGACACGTCAGACGACAGGACTGTTTTCCTCATCTTTGATCATGATGTTGAATATAAATGAGCTAGTAATAGGCTGTATAGGGTTAATAAAAGTAATGTCCACTGATTGTAACGTGAAACTGTTCTGAACGCCAGCAGGGGCTGATGGGAAGCCTGATTTATAACTAACTTAATCCGGGAATGAATGGTTTAAGGCTTGTCCGTACAGAAGCATTGCTGGGCAACCTGAAAACAGCACCAACACATCGGTTTAAAACAAACTCCCATCACCGCCACACATGCAAACACACTTTAACAAATGCACAAACACTATTGCCAACCTGCAAAAGAACACTTTTGGCTGCGGTTACAAGACGTAAAACGATATAAATACTGTTCGTTTTCTCACACAAACCGCTCGTTTCGTGTCTTAGGCCATTAATGTGTACTTACATTTACGAGTCATTAAATCATGTTTAATTTGGACTTCTCTGTGCTGCTCTTTGAGGTGGTGACCATAGACCTCCATTATATGACTGACAGACAAGAACGCTTTGACTGAAAATACTGCGGAAACAAAGACACCTACATCTTGGATGCCCTTGAGGTAAGATAAAACATACCAACAATTAATTTCAAAGTGAACTATCGCTTTAATACGGACACACTGTTGTCCTCCTTGTGTGAAGAGACGACACATGCTCGCACATTATAACCGTTTGCTAACAGGACGTTTTTGATAGTTAGTTCAACATATTCAACTCTGACGTGCATTAGCATTCATTCCTCGTCTCCACAACCGTCCCTGAGATGATGTCCTACACACACGTTAGTTTCATTACCGAGAGTAAATCACAACAGCGTGTCGACGCTCAGTAAAGAAGACTTACTGTTTATAACTGAATATTCTTGGACTCATGATTTTGAAGCTGAAAATACACAATTATTTTAGACGAATACGCTTGCACTCTTTCACTGACTAGATTTATTTAAAATAAATCACTTTTTACTGGTAACATCAGACATTTGGCATTATCGGGACACACACATATTCCCCCATTGCATTATTATACATCATATTCAACATTATATATAGTAGTTTAATGTTAAACTGACACTAAAAACTGTCAACTTTCTCTCACACAGACTGGGTGAACTATCCATACATATTGTTGTTTTTTTGTATTGTGATATGTTCTAGTCATTTATGCATCTCATATTATTATGAGTAGATATGTGTCACTTCGGGTCGATCACCACAAACCGAAACCTTTTGCATGGTAAACGTTAGGGATGAGTAACGATTAATCGCGATTAATCGAATCTGAAATAAAAGTTTGTGTTTACATAATATATAGTGTGTATAATTAATGTGTATACAGTATATAAATACCCACACTGCATGTATATATTTAAGAAAAATGTGTTATTATTAATATATCAAATATTTATATTTATATATATTAATTATGTCTAAATATATATAAAGTATATACAATACATGCAAATATTTCTTAAATATATACATACACGTGTGGGTATTTATATATACAAATTAATTATACACACTACACACACATATATTATGTAAACACAAACTTTTATTTTGGATGCGATTAATCGCGATTAATCGTTGCCCATCCCCATGCATGCGATATGAAAATACTGTTAATAAATCAGATAAATCTGCGTTTTGCAGCGGCATCGACTCTGTTTTATGATCTTCCACATATCGATATCACGACTATAACACAGAACTGCACTATTATATCCTTAATAAGAGTAGTTAGTAATTAAGAAGGCAGGCCAGAGGCAGTAATTTGCCAGGTAATATTTCTGGCGCCTGGGAATTAAATGTATAACCTAATTATCTGCTCTTATTAAAGCTGAGGGACGCGTTTCAGAAGAGCGCATAACCCTGCTTTATCATGTCTGGCTTCAACAAGTCACTATGATATAAAATAAGAAAATACGTCTGTTTTACTTTGTCATAGTTATGAGATTAAAAATGATGAGATTGAAAAATGTGAAATTCTGAATCATTAAACTGCTTAAAAATGTCTGTCTTCAACAGCAAAACAGTTATGATACAAGTCAAAATTCTGACATATAAAGTTAATGAGTTATGAAGAAAAAGTCATAAATATCACATACTGATAATTAAAGTCAAAAGTGTGAGATACATCATTTTAAATTATGAGATATTCAACAATATTAAACATATAATGTTTTTGTAAATCATAATTATGAGAGTAAAATATATATTTTATAGATTAAATTATGACTGACTGTCTATAAATGTTTAGATCTTCAACAAAAAATATATGGATAATTATGACATACTAATAAATCTGATATTTAAAAAAAATGTATGATAAAGTTGAAATTATGAAGTCTGACTAATAATTATGAGATAAAAAGTCAAATTTATTATTTTCATTAATGTGCTTAAATCTTCAAGTCGAAATTATGACACGACAAAAATTAAGAAAATATTCATTGTCAATTATGATAAAAAGTCAATAAGATTATGGACTAAGGACTAAAAATGACAAAAGAAAAAATAAATAAATAAATAAAAGTAGAAATAAATAAAAAAAATGTAGTGAAAATAAATAAATTTTTGCAATATAAATGGCTATTTCTGTATTTTTACATGTATATATGCATAAGAGAGGCAGGCAGAGATCGGGTTTACATGTGTGTGTAATCAGCACAGTGCAGGTGTTTGGTATAATCAGTCCAGAGAGGTGCATGATGGGAAATGTAGTCTGTGATAATCCAGGGAGTGCTTGGCTAATCGTGACAAATACATTTGTCAAAACATGATTAAATATTAGTAAACAAACATGATAAAATGACTGTTGTTTGACTTGATTTTCTTTGAATTTAATAAATCTTCCTGTCATTTTATTCAACATCTTGTTTGAAGTGGCCAGTTTAATACAAATCAATTCTGAATTCAATTGAATTACACTCTAAAAAATGCTGGATTGTTTCAAACCAAATTTGGGTCAAAAATGTCATTTAAAATGTTAACCCAACTTCAACTTTCACTTTCAACCGTACATTTTTTTAATTACATTTTTAACCCTGCTGTGTTTGACAAGCTCATCATAACCTCTTCCTCATAAACAAATTATAACACACAACAATCAGTGATTACAGTGCCTGAATATTCATAAACACGGATTAATAACGTTTCAGAAACAAGAAAAGGCAATGCTTTCACCCATCCTTTAACTATAATAACATCACAGTAACCGTATATGTCACAAATATAGTTATTCGTCTGGAAATTCAATGATAAATGGTCAGTTTAGTGTGTTTTATTATTATTATTATAGTTCTACAATGTTATAAATCAAAACCAGACTGAAATGCCCCACTTGTACGTCTGTAAACGACAGCTGATCTTATTTGAACGTCCTAATAACATTTTCTGAGGCTTAATGACCTAATACAAGCCGACGTTAGTCCTTCACTGAAGCGCAGATCTCAATGCCATGATTATATAATAATCAATAAAAGGAACGGCTGGACTTTACCTGTTCGTCAACCGTCTGACCGTCTCATGTCTGGCGCCACTAGTCACCGGTGCAACTTTGACATTTTGACTGGGAAAACCTGTGAAATAAAGAAAATATTATGCAATTAGTCAAAGCAAAAATGATTCTGACACCAGATATCATTTTTGAGATGTTTCCATGTGTGCAGGACACTATAGTTCATTTATATAAGTGAGGAGAGCAAAACAAAGTAAACTGTGAGATATTACACCCAAATATTCTTCATATACCAGTAACATTTATTTAAAAAATAGTGTTTTCTGTAATTGCTAATGCTCTTTTTACACACACACAGAACAACATGAAGCATTGCTTGGTCACTGGTTGAGCTAAACTGGTATTATCTAATTGTGTAGTTCAATTTAACAGCTGACAGATATTCAACATAATTCATGATCAGAGTCAGAGAGTGGCAGCCTCTTGAACCACCACCACGCTCTGTTCGACTTTTTCTGAGATCATCTACTCTTCCCTGTGGATGACCTGTGACCTACTTTCTGTGAGACCTGAATTTTTGACATTGAATTTTAGAAAATTTAATTTGACGATCAGAATTTCTTCAACTTGAAAACTTGAATCTGTATTTTTTTTTAAACTGAATATTTGCAGTATTTGAATTCAGAACAAAAAAATAACTGTTTGAAAATACATGCCTAAAAAATTCAGCCACAAAAACCTATCAGTTTAATAAATTTCATTCGTTAAATTCAAATTCAGAACTATTTAAACTACCACCTAAAATTCAACTTTGTTAGATTACACTTGCAAATAATTCAAATTATTTTGTCATATTAATAGCTCCATAGTTCTGCATATATTTCACAACTATAGCGAATCAGCCTGTTCTCACGTAAATGCGTCTCTATAGCTCGCATTGTTTTATCGTGCAATTTATACACGAAAATGACTTTTTACGTGCCTACTCTAACCAATGCGTATCCTATGCACATAAAAACTAATTTTCACGTATAAATTGCACGATAAACACACTGCGTGCTACAGAGACGCATTTAATGTGATAACTGTGAACTTGTCTGAATACACTTTGGTTTGACTGTTGTTTTTCTGCTAAAGAACAAATAGTTTATAAACATATAATAGGCTAATTTACCATTTTGAAGATTATCATCCGATAATCGTTGGGTTAAAAACACTGAATGGTTTTCTCTACGCTCACTTCCGCTGAACGATGCATTCTCCTGTAAAACACTCCTGAATTTTCCCGAATCTCCAGTGCCAGCTGTTCCCCGACTAAAGCCTGTCGTCTCAGAAAACACAGGAGGACTGTGCTTATCCTCAGTGCCAGAAAGAGCAAGACGTGCTGACAAGTTATGTGAGAGTGTGTGTGAGAGAGATTTCCATGCCATGCTGTCCATTACCAACCGATGTGAAAGCACACGTTACTCTTCTGACTATCCGGTTAGAACGACTTTTCCATGAGCCGAATTAATTATTTGCCATTTATTTGCTCCAAATATTCCTCACGTTTTCCGTGCATGTGCTGAGAGAAACTGAAAGGCAATTAAATAAGCAACAATGACCTTGAGATCAGACATGCAGTGGCCGACATTGACAACATAATCAGTTATTACGATTTTTTTTGTCTGTTACGATAGTCACTGTGTCAGATTACGCGATTTTGACTCCTAAAATCTTGTCGAGACACATGTTAGACTACACGTTGCTTCTGACCAGTCATCGCGTGCCGTCTTTAATGGCGCGCGTGATGTCATCGAGAAGCAAAACTAATAGCGAGTGACTTCCGGAAACGAACGTAAACAAACAACGGATGAAGCGGTGAGTGTTGTATTGACTGTCCTGTGTTCAGAAATAAGTTAAAAAAAAGAAAGAAAACCCGACACGTTTCTCCAATCCCCCAAAGAGAACTTGAGGTAAAATATTGTTTTATTATATATTTTTACTTTTAGTTTTAAGCACCATTGTCTCTCTTTCGTTTCACCATTTTTTGAAAGTTGTGTACGAAAAAGCTTCTGTGCTCCGATTGGTCAACCTCATACATGTGACGGAACCGTCGTAGACGACCGTTAAACGAATTTAACATGCTAGTCTTTTTGTCGTGATGTCGTGAAGCATCGCAGACACGCCGTAGGTTGTCGCCCACTATGACACACTACACGAGATGATACAAATCGAATCTTGCGTCCCGACGCCTGTTGTCGTTTACGAATCCCAACAACACCCTATGTCAAACGGATCGTGCCAAAATCAGGCTAAAATCGTTTAAACTGAACCAGGCATGACCTACCCTATCTCACGACCAATTCGTACGAATTCGTACGAATGATTAAAAAGTGGCTAATTCGTACTAATTCGTACGACCTCACTCGTACGAATTCATACGATTTGTCTAAACCCACGTGATGGTTAGGTTTAGGGGCGGGGTCAGGGGTAGGTCATTCGTATGAATTAATACGAATTGGCCAATTCGTAAAATATGTACGATTTAGCAAAATCTTACTAATTCGTACGAGTGAGGTTGTATTAGCCACCTCGTAAAATTCGTACGAATTCCCGTGAGATCGGGTTGGACCTGGACATACACGGCACACGGCACATGTATATAACTCTATAACTCTATTGTTTTCTTATATATTTTTACTTTTAGTTTTAACGTTAGCACCATCGTCTCTCTTTCGTTTCGCCATTTTTTGAAAGTTGTGTACGGAAAAGCTTCTGTGCTCCGATTGGTCAACCTCATACATGTGACGGAACCGTCGTAGACGACCGTTAAACAAATTAAACATGCTAGTCTTTTTGTCGTGAAGCATCGCAGACACAACGCAGGTTGTCGCCCACTATGACACACTATATGAGATGATACAATCGAATCTTGTGTCCCGACGCCTGTTGTCGTTTACGAATCCCAACAACACCCTATGTCAAACGGATCGTGCCAAAATCAGGCTAAAATCTCACGACCAATTCGTACGAATTCATACGAATTATTAAAAAGTGGCTAATTCGTACTAATTCGTACGACCTCACTCGTACGAATTCATACGATTTGTCGAAACCCACGTGATGGTTAGGTTTAGGGGCGGGGTCAGGGGTAGGTCATTCGTACGAATTCATACGAATTGGCCAATTCGTAAAATATGTACGATTTAGCAAAATCTTACTAATTCGTACGAGTGAGGTTGTATTAGCCACCTCGTAAAATTCGTACGAATTCCCGTGAGATCGGGTTGGACCTGGACATACACGGCACACGGCACATGTATATAACTCTATAACTCTATTGTTTTCTTATATATTTTTACTTTTAGTTTTAACGTTAGCACCATCGTCTCTCTTTCGTTTCGCCATTTTTTGAAAGTTGTGTACGGAAAAGCTTCTGTGCTCCGATTGGTCAACCTCATACATGTGACGGAACCGTCGTAGACGACCGTTAAACAAATTAAACATGCTAGTCTTTTTGTCGTGAAGCATCGCAGACACAACGCAGGTTGTCGCCCACTATGACACACTATATGAGATGATACAATCGAATCTTGTGTCCCGACGCCTGTTGTCGTTTACGAATCCCAACAACACCCTATGTCAAACGGATCGTGCCAAAATCAGGCTAAAATCTCACGACCAATTCGTACGAATTCATACGAATTATTAAAAAGTGGCTAATTCGTACTAATTCGTACGACCTCACTCGTACGAATTCATACGATTTGTCGAAACCCACGTGATGGTTAGGTTTAGGGGCGGGGTCAGGGGTAGGTCATTCGTACGAATTCATACGAATTGGCCAATTCGTAAAATATGTACGATTTAGCAAAATCTTACTAATTTGTACGAGTGAGGTTGTATGAATTGTTACGAATTAGCCACCTCGTAAAATTCGTACGAATTCCCGTGAGATAGGGTTGGACCTGGACATACACGGCACACGGCACATGTATATAACTCTATAACTCTATACATGTTCTGTTTTTACTTTGCATCATTGTTTTCCAGTGTTCTGTTCCTGTTTCCTTTGTTTCCACTGTTCCCGCTCTACATTTGTTGTCATGGTTACTAATTATGTTGCGCACCTGGTTCTGGTTACGTTTGTCATTAAGTCTTGTCATCCCTCTGTGAATGTTTTGTAATGTATTTAGTTACTTCTGCAGTAATTGCATTGAATACTGTATAGACGAACAATTCTATATAAAACGAACTGTTATCCACTTTTCCTTGCTCTGAAGAGTAGCTAAATAAAATAGAAATGTGTGCAATGCACTCGCATGGAACTTGCCGGCCATGTAAACGGAGCATTTCTAATCTGGATTACACAAACAGGCATTTAAAAATGTAACTTTACATAACGGTTGACTCATATGGTCTATTTATAAACCCGCATCCATGTCTGACTGTATTATATCTGTGTGTCACACACAGCTCGGCTGAAGGACCCGACTGACGGCTGAAAGTGAGCGTTTGGCGGTTTGGCAGGACTGCTTCAGATTCGTCCCGAGAGAACCCTTCCTGGCCCACTTTCTGTGATTGCCACTCGATTACGTTTCCAGGAGTTCCTTATCTCTGATGCCTATCTGAGCAAACACAACCTCATGCCTTCTCACGGCGAGACTTCACACACACCCGTCGCTCAGATGACGCGGCCTAAAACAGATGTCTAACATCTTCAACTCAAATATTATTAAAGATAGTAGGATTATTAAAGTCATATTAATCATGATAATCAGCCGACATTATTTTTGCTCAGATTGCCATACAAAGAAATTATGAACACATGCAAAAACAAGAGAGACCCAGCGAGATATTAAAAACTGATTATGTTGTAGTCAATGTTTTTGTTTGTTTTTTCCAGCCTTTTTTTTTTTGCATAGTAAAATCAAACCTTTTTTTTACCAAATAATTTTGTCAGATAAATACCTTAACCAAGTTTAGTGTTTTGTTCTTCCCTCATATTTAAAAACATCAAATATTTTCCTCATATTATTATAATACAAACAAATATGTTCTCCAGACATCAATGTCTAATTTAGGGTCATAAACAAACTTCTGACACTCTGAGGTTTTATGAAAGGACGATTTTAACTTCCCTGGGTCAATTTGACCCGCAATTTCATTTTTTTTTAAAAAAACTTGCTGATAATTTAGGCTACTCACCCCCGTGTCATCCAAGATGTCCATGTCTTTCTTTCTTCAGTCGAAAAGAAATGAAGGTTTTTGATGAAAACGTTCCAGGATTTTCTCCATATAATGGACTTCAATGGGGTCCAAACGGTTCAAGGTCCAAAAGACAATTTCAGTGCAAACTGTTCAAAGGGCTTTAAACGACAACAGACGGTGAATAAGGGTCTTATCAAGCGAAATGATCGCTCATTTAATAAATAAATAACAAAGTTTAAGTTTTATAAGCTCATATGCTCGCCTTGCTCTGTTCTGTGATTAGCGAACATTTATTTGTTTATTAAATGAGTGATCGTTTCGCTTGATAAGACCTTTATTCATCATCTGGTGTCGTTTAAAGCCCTTTAAACAGTTTGCACTGAAACTCTCATTTGGACCTTGAACCGTTTGGACCCCATTGAAGTCCATTATATGGAGAAAATCCCGGGAATGTTTTCATCAAAAACCTTAATTTCTTTTCGACTGAAGAAAGAAAGACATGGACATCTTGGATGACATGGGGGTGAGTAAATTATCAGCAAAAGTTTTTTTTAAAAGTGAACTACTCCTTTAACCGCAGCTGCACAGACCCACAATAAAAATGAAAAAACTATGTCTTTTTAATGTCAGTTTATCAACTACCCTCCGAGGGAATTTAAATGTACATTCATGCATTTCACACACACTTTCATTGTTGTGTTAAAGCCAAGGAGTGCATTTTTATCAGTTCAGGAATGTTCATTTCATTGGGAATCAAATGTAAGACGTTGGTGTTGAGCTTCAGGAAAACACACACACACAAAAAAAAAAAAACATAATGTGTGAGAAGTATTAATACTAAAGGTTTACCTGATTTTTGCTGTTGTTTTTTATAGAGTGATTTTTCATGAAATGTATTGAATCTAACTAGTAAAAATTTTGTACCCAGGATTCGAACATATAACAAATCATCCGATTTCATGCATCCTCTGAATGGAGATGAGAACGTAAGCAGAATGATATTTCAGTGGTGCACTGAAGATTTCCCTCATAACTGATATTATATCTTATATCCAAGGCGTTCAGATCAAGTTAATTCCCAGCATGGCCATCAAAACCTGTTGAGTGACGACAGGCAGACAGTGGTGAAGCATTGGACCAGAGGAGCACTCTGATTTATCTGGGGATGCACCTTCTGTCTGTTCCCAGTCCAGACCACACTGGGAATGACAATCAAGTTAACCATTACAACCCACATCCATTCATGCCTTTTGCTCTGTTTTCTCGCTCTAAAGACTTGATTTGACATATTCATGGTGAATAAATTGATTGAATTGTATTCTGTGAAGTGACTGGTGTAAATGCACAACTGACTGTGCTAATCCGGTGTCAGTGTTGGTGAACCCTGCTGAGATAGGGTAGGTTCAACAGTATTCTCCTCAAACACACTGCAGTGGGGGATATTTGCATCTGCCCTTGGGTTCTCCTTCACAACCCATTATGGCCATTTTAAACAATAATGTGAGCATGTAGAGCATGAAAATATGCATGGATCACATTGAGTTTAGAGCGCTTCAACTAACGTTCATTAACCGAGAGATTAAAGGCATTAAATGAAGACACGGTAAAAGAAGAGTGTTGTTCGCGATCTCACCCTTTATCCCCTCGACACTCTCTTCAAGTCCCAGATCTGCACGAATACAATGCTTTTACCAAGTTCAATGACCTCAGACTGCGATAAACTGCTGCAAAGCTGCGGTCAGTGCCAGGACAAGAGGAGGGTTAACAACCAAAACATTAGGCAAATATTACTAGCGTGTAAGTTGCGTAAAACAAACAATCGGTAATAGTTGGAGGAGCCTATTTAAAGATGCAAAATGAGATAAGAATTGGTTAATTTGTGAAGATGCAGACGTTGGACTTTTGTTTAACAAGTAACTTGTTTTCGACAATGGAATCTGCGTTGAAATGGTTGGAAATTTTGTTCTCACCTTTACGCTCTAGCGATCTTATCGTTAACGCATAGTCCGTGTTTTATTAGCTATTTTGGGGAACCGACGTTCATCACATGCCAACGTTATGTGAATATTCTATTGTTTTTTAATTTATTTTAATAACCACAAACTAACCTTAGCAGAACGTGCATGCGAGCAAATCCTGAGCGCAATGGATAATGCAAATTCCGTAAATAAGCGCGCGCGTCGTTTCATTCATAATGAACAAGATGCTGCCTTGAGTCACTGCAGAGTGACATTTCCATCACTTCAAAGCGTTCAATAGTGAGATTTAATGGATGTGATGGAAAACGAGCGATCCACAACTCATGATGATTTCTATCCACTGTTATTCGCGATGCAGGAAAGATAAGGTGTTAACGAGGAAGGACTTACCGAGGTCACCCTGACTTCTCCACAGATCAATGCTTCAGATGCCGTGATCACAGTCCACGTCTCTGCATATATACCACAGTATTACATACAGGATCAGCAAAATGGCAAAAATAAACAGCGCTACAAGGATAGCCTTAGTCACTGGTGATATGAGAGACTGCATTTCAGTTAAATTCGCAATAAGCGTCCACTGAGGCGCGGGTGCTCTACCATCTGAGCAGATCTTCGGGTTTTGATGGAATCTCCTGCTCTGACATTCCCCGCGATTTACTCAATGGAGACATCACGAGCGAGCATCTAGAGAGAGGCAGATTGTCTTGATCATGTTGGAGAGGAGATCTCAGAGGCTCTGGTGTGGAACAGGTTGATTCGGCTTTTCAACTTCATCAGATGGGATTGTCCAAATGAAGCTCTGCGTGAAGGGGAGACCGCATTAAGCTACTCTCAACACGTGTAAAGCTCACTTTTAAGGTTTAAAGGTTTTTGGGGCGTTCGTTTTACGGAATCATTTTTGGATATTAAGCCAAATAAACGATATTAGTCTTTTTGCAAAAAACTGACCGACAATTTTAACAGACAATTTTAACAAAACACTGATGTTTATGACAAGCCAAATATATTTCAAAATGACAACAAATCACGTCAGCGTTGCATCCGATGGTGAGAGTTTGTGGTTAATTATGCGTCGAAAAGATTATATTTACCAGCTGAACGCACATGAACGCCACCACAAAGTCGTAAATATGAATGGGAAGCTCGGGATTTTCTTTAAATCCCGACGTTTACGAGTTGGGGCGTGTCTGAGAGACGTGACGGAATAGCCTAGCATGTTTAGCAGCGTCAATGTGGCTTTGTTTATTTATTTACAACCACATGCTAATTCCCTGCACAACATATGACAATGGCATTGTAAATAACATTGCCTGTGTAACGATAAAGTCTACAGTGACTCAATTAAAACATTTAAAAAAGCAAAACAAACAAAAGCCTTGCTGCATTTTTGTGTGTTAAATAGCCTAGGAGAAGGTACGGTACGCCGCCATCTTGCTCCGACGAAAGTCCCATTCGCGAGGATCTAACGTCTAAATTCACACACTGATTAACTTGTAAACTAAGTTACAATATTGTAAATAAAACAGCGATTATTGGAGTAGGTTTTACAAGAAAATATGTATTTCAGCTTCGAAATTTCGCGTACGTTTAATTCAATGTGTTACTTGCCGTTTCTTTTGTGAAACTGAGCAGTTTCTGAGTGAAACTGTTTGAGTAAATCATTTTTTCCCAGTGTGTTATTTTGTGGTTACTAGCTACAAAAACTGTTGTTTGGACTAATGTGGAAGGATTGGATTCGTCACCCTTGGTATTGGTGAATATGCATATTTTTCGTTTTGTAAGTCCTGAAGGTGTTTTAGTTCACAATTTAACAAAACTTGTCTGAAAAGGTAAATGATAATTAACTGCAGAACCTGAGATTTGTCTCAACATGTTGCTGTTTTATGGCAAGCTGGATTAGCTTAAAATGCCCCCAGTGTCACTTGTTGTAATTGCATCCACTTCCTTGCGAACTGGAAGTGGCAAACAAATTTTCTTCAGTGTTGTGACGTATTTCCGAAAGAAACGGAATACCAAATGAGGAAAAATAGACAAATCTCCCCACTCAGACAAATTTGTTTCACTCTAGCACAAAACTGGATGTGTGCTTTCATATAGACCTATACATATGGCTCTGCATGTCTGCGCGTTCAAACTTTGCAATTATGACAAGTAACTCTGGGAATATTTTAAAAGGGTCCTATAATGCTCTTTTCACAAGATGTAAAATAAGTCTCTGATGTAAAAAAAAAAAAAAGTAAATGCGTGTGTCCCTTTAAATGCAGATGAGCTGCTGCTCCCGGCATAGGGGGCGGACCTTTAAGAGCTATCCACTGAAAATATCAAAAACGTTAGCCTTTTATGTTCAAACCGAAGTCAGACGGGACATTTCTGAATGGTTAGTTGATGAATTTATGTTGCTGATGTAGAGTTAACAATCTTACTCATTGATTAGCATATTCTGTCATGATAATCTATAAATCGCGTTCCCGAGGGCAGGGTTTGTCATTTTTTTTGTTGCCATTGGCTTTTGGCTTGCTTAGTTGGCGACATTACATTTAACATTTTATTTAAAGCTGTACTGAAACTCTCATTTGGACCTTGAACCGTTTGGACCCCATTGAAGTCCATTATATGGAGAAAATCCTGGAATGTTTTCATCAAAAAAATTTCTTTTTGACTGAAGAAAGAAAGACATGGACGTCTTGTTCTTGTCTGACATGGGGGTGAGTAAATTATCAGCAAAAGTATTTTTAAAAGTGAACTACTCCTTTAAGACAAGACTTTTCACTTAAAAAAGTGAAATCATGATCAACAGCCACAGTTTAGGCTAAACCGGCTTGCCACACTTCGCCCGCTGGGTGGCTCAAGTTCAATAGTAATAGCTAATCGTTTCGAAGGAACTTCCCCAGAGCGACGAAACGAATGAATGGAGCTGTGTCTTAAAACCTGGAGGCATGGGTGGGTTTCCAGCAAGACAGCTCACTGGGGTTTAAAACAGCTCCATTCATGCGTGTCGTTGTTCTGGGGAAGTTCCCTCGCAACCTTTAGGAAACGCAACGACCTGTTTCATATCGTGCCGCGGGTTTTGATGTGCGTGCGTGCGTAACACAGCAAACGGCTAATGTGCATGTAACACATGGTTGAAGTGTTTAATGCATGTCAAGAAACCACGCAATGTATTTAATGAGGTTTCTAACGGCAAACGAACAGATGGATCAATAAGACGCATGCTTTTGTTGAAGCTAATGTCATGATATGATACAGATCCAGAAGGGGGAGGAGGGGATCCTCGTGCATCCTCAGCCCGTGCATGAGACTCTACCGAGAAACACAGTCAAACCTGCAATTGGATCCTACACAAGTCAATCCCACATGTGGGTGGGCATTAGATTCAGGGCTGCACACACACACACACACACCCAGGAAAGTTTGTACAACAAAGGTTGTCGGAAAGTTGCACACCAACCACATGCGTGCGAACACGAAGTGTACAAAGAAAATCTCCACGCGTTAAAAGAAAAGCATTACGTTACGTTTAATTCCTAATTCAGCTCAGTTTCATTCACGCCACAATGATGTCATACGTGTGGATTTTCGTGCTGGGAAGTTTAATCGTGACTGGAGTAAAGATGCAAGGTAAGGACAAGTTTTGCCAGAAAAAAAAACAACTTTCTTTCACGTTTTAAAGAAAAGTAGCCTACCAAAGTTTGCTAACATCTTATTTGTTACATACAGTTACTAAATTAATAACTAGCCTATAAACGATGCATTATTAAACCAAACCCTAATTCTAACCATTATTGTACAGTGTAACAAAGACAAGTATAACCATGCGTGTTTATCAACTATACATGTATAAAAACTGTATAGAGTCCAAGATGAAATGGGAAGCATGTCTTTGTTTAGTAGTGAGTCTATATCAGCTCCAAGATCACGTGTTTGGTACATTAATACACTATATATGAGTTCTGTGTTATTATCACAAATATAAGACCCCTGTGAGAATGACTTGTTAGACATGCTGAAGCTGTAAAGTCGCTTTGTACATCGTGTTCTTGACTAAACAGCTTTGCCTGCTCAGTTTCTCGATGACTTCATCCATGCACAACAGTTCTGAAATGCTCACAGATGCAACCAAATGTTAGGATCACGTTTAAAATGTGAATATTGGGGAAACGTGTTCCTTTAATGTCGATTTATGGGGGTGTTTGTAGCAAATATGTGAAATCTCATCCAGATGTAGACGAGCGACACGTTTAGTTCAGTGTTGTAAATTGAGAAAGAGTGAGGTGAGGTGTAGTCCCAGAAATTCAATCTAGTCCCAGATGTAGACACACCCTACACGGGAAACGAAAGGGATGCTCGATTCACCCGAGGGAGTTTGCGTGCCTCTCTCTCTCCCCGACACACAGCAATAATGCATTCATTCCTACAGCCTTGTATTTTTGATTTTGTGAGGGAGAGCGTCTTTGTTCGCAGGCTCCTGTGTGTGTTTGTGTGGACAGGTGTGTCTCCATCCTCGTACTCAGAGTAAACTTCTTTTGTGTGTCTTAATCTGACAACTGTGCCAGAAACCTCAAAGAGCGGCGGTGGAAATGTAAAGCTTGGGGAAGTAAATCACTTAGGCATGTGTTGAAGAAGTCATTTTGCAATCATGCAAAAACAAGCAAGATTTGGCTTTTATAATGTAACCCCGAAAGCGTGAAGACTTGATGTTGAGATGACACGTCTACATTTGCTGTGTTCAATCAAAGATCATTGTAAAGCAGGCAATTCCTTTTAACACATTTTTGAATAATAGTTCGGATCATGTTATGCCACATTTTAAACTACACTCTAAAAAATGCTGGGTTGTTTTAACCCAATTTTGGGTCAAATATGGACAAACCCGAAATGTTGGGTTAAAAATGTAATGTAAAAATTTAACCCAACGGCTGGGTTAGTCCATATTTGACCCAAAGTTGGGTTAAAACAACCCAGCATTTTTTAGAGTGTAATTTGTCTGTACATAAATGAAAAATAAAGCAGTTGTTTTAAATGCATCACGTGAGTTTGTGCATCATAACATTTAAATGTATTAAAAGAGATTTAGACATAAAGATGTTAATATATATTACTAGCACTATTATTTGTAACATGTGTTAGTCACACTTTAGATTAGAGTCCAATTTTCACTATTAACTATGACTTTTGACTCAATAAACTTTTGACTCAATAAACATAAAAAAAATGCTGGGTTGTTTCGACCCAAATTTGGGTCAAATATGAACAAACCCAAATGTTGGGTTAAAAATGTAATTAAAAAAAATTAGTTGAAAGTTGGGTTAAAATCTTAAATTACATTTTTGACCCAAATTTGGGTTAAAACAACCCAGCGCTGTTTAGAGTGTATGGTGGTAGTTAAGTGCACTGTAAAAATTTGTTATCACAACATATTTTCTTTTGTCAAATCAACTTTATAATAATTTATTTAGTTGAGATAACTTATTATTTTGAGTTTCCGATGGTTAAATTAATCTACTTCATTGTATTAACTCACTTTTTCCAGTTCAATGAACTTAAAATTTTAAGGCAACCAGGTTACTTACTTTAAGTTAAACCATCAATATTTTTTTACAGTGTGCAAGTATTGTGTGATTAAGGGATGTAGATTATGATCATGCATAATAAGGCATTAATATATGCTTTATAAGTACTAATAAACAGGCAATATCCACAACAATATGCAATTAGACCCCATACTAAAGTGTCACCTAGTTAATATTATTTAATTAACTTGAGCTAACATGAAATATCATTAAATTAACTAATGCAATTGTATTGTAAAGTGTAAAGTCTATACAGGGGAATTTGTGCATCACAATATTATGAAAAATGAAAGCTTAAATTTACTCAGTGTGACCAAATGTGTGCCTGGTTGTGTAAATGAAGCAGGTATTTCTGGATTAGTTGTTTGGGAATGCCACACTCTAAACAAAGCTGGGTTTTTTTAACCCAAATTTGGGTCAAATATGGATAAACCCAAATTGTTGGGTTAAAAAATGTAATTTAAAATTTTAACTTTCACTTTCAACTGTATTTTTTTAATGAAATTTTTAACCCAACCTTTAGGTTTGTCTATATTTGACCCAAATTTGGGTTGAAGTAACGCAGCATTTTCTTTGTGTTTGTCCATATTTGACCCAACCCAGCATGTTTAGAGTGTATGTTCAGTCGTGTGTTATAACGCTGTTTTGTGTGTGTGTGTGTGTTTCAGAGGATGGAGTGGAGGCTGCTGAGAATGACGGTACGTTTCGATTTCGATCATATTTAATAACTGCCATAGTTGTGTGTGAACACACCCTTCTCCAGAAAACTTCCTCTGCTCCGTGCCAAAGCAATAAAACGCATAAACGGCAAGAGTTTACAGCTCTCACGGCAGGGTTATATTACAAAAGAGCAGTGTGTGTGTTCAACCCTTTGACGTGGTTCAATATATCACCTGGCACACAATAAAGATGATAAATACGGGTTGCTAATTTACCTGTCTCATATACAGAGTCTCCGGCCGATGACCCCGCTGAAACCGTTCCTGATCAAGGTGATGATAAGATTTCTGTCTCTAAATAACACAATATATTCCACTGATGCTAAAAACACAATTAATCACATAATATTAGTATTATCAGCTTTTAAAAGTAGAAACCCTTCCAGTGTCCTTCTTGGTTGTTGACGTCAAAGACCGTACGTATAAATTGGAAGTCAGATTAAATAGATGTCAATGTACACAGACAGCCCTCATGTCTAAACCAGCAGCCAAACGCACAACAAACACACTGTGACGGGTTACGGGTTTGTTATTGTCGTCATTTGATATCCAACAAATAAATATCCTAAGGGCGAGTCGAGAACCACAGATCCACATCATATAAGTAAAGATATTGAATGAACAGGAGCGTCACTGTCGCATTCGGGCATCTCTTTAATTCACTTTTGTACTGTAATATCTCGGATAAAACTGGGAAGTTGGTCCATTCTTTGCTGTCTCTTACGGATGTATTGTGATATAATGGAAGAAAAGTATTCTAATATAAAAGTTTAAACACACTCTTTTGGTTCGAGAAATATATATATATTTTTTTTACGGCTTCGACTGAAATAATGCTCTACCAAACTACACTGAGTTATAGGAACTTAATAATTTGCAGCTAAAACACAAGTTTTTACATTTAAAATAAGTTTAAAAATTAAAAAAAAAAAAAATCCGGTCCTGTTCAAAGTTATCTGTAAAAAAAAAAAAAAAACGTTTTCAATTTACGGTAAAATACCGGCAGCTGTGCTTGCCAGAAATTTACCGTATAAAATACGGTAGCAAGAATTTACGGTAATAAGATTTTACAGGCTTAACTTAAAATTTACGGAAGTAAACCGTATTTAATTATCTGATATACTGTAAAATTATCAACCATTTGAAGTGTTAATATCTGTTTTATACCATTGTAATAAACTGACATCCATCAATCACAGCATAGTCACATGATATATGGAAACTCATCACATGTCACTCTTTCACTTAATATTAACATATAGAAGCGGCACTGTGTCTTTCACTCAAACATTAAACACCATCATGGTAACACACATGAAATTTTAAAAAGGCAATAAACATTAACTTAACAACATTAAATGTCACATAAAACCCTAATGTACCTAACTGATTAGAAAAAGACTAAGCAAACTATGAAGAAACAAGTTATTTCAGCAAAAAATACATCAAGTGTGGAGTGTCACGCAGGGAATTGTGGGAATGTCAATTTACGTTTTTTTTACTGTAAATTAAACGACGAGTTGTTCATTTTCACTTTAAAAACTGTAAATTTAACAGTATTTTACAGTAAAATTACATGAAATTTACCATAAGATCTATCACAGTTATTTACCGTATATAGTAAGGAAAGGTTCTGTTAACCAATTAACAGTTTTTCACTGCAATTTTACAGTTTTTTACTGTTAAAATCACGATTATTTTTTACAGTTATTTTTACTTTTTTACAGTTTAATTTATTACTTTTTACTTACACTATAAAAGTGTTCATGAAAGAGTCTCTTCTGTCAACAACACTGAATTTAATTGATCAAAATACAGAAAAATTTTGAAAAACTATTATAGTGTAAATCATCTGTTTTCTATGTGAATATACAGTAAAGTGTAATTTATTCCTGTGATCAAAGCTGAATTTATTTGATCAATATACAGTAAATTTATTAAATATTATTCTAATGTAAATCATCTGTTGTCTATGTAAATATACAGTAAAGTGTAATTTATTCCTGTGATTTTCAGCATCATTACTCCAGTCTTCCGTGTCACATGATCCTTCTCTAATATGAGGATTTCCATATTTTTTTTTGTGGAAACATGTGATACATTCAGGTACATTTAAACTGATAAAGTGACAGTTAATGTTACAAAAGATTATATTTCAATCTTTCTATTCATCAAAGAATCCTGAAAAATAAAATCAATCTGTTTCCACTGAAATATGAACTGTTTTTAACACTGATAATAATCATAAATGTTTGTTGATCATCAGATCCTCATATTAGAGTGATTTCTGAAGGATCATGTGACACTGAAGACTGGAGTAATGATGATGAAAATCACAGGAATAAATTACACTTTATTATATATTCACATAGAGACCAGATGATTTACGTTATAATAATATTTAATAATTTTTACTGTATTTTGACCAAATAAATGCAGCCTTTGCAGCCATATTTTTTAATGATTCCAAACTTATTTACAACACAGATGTACGCTTGCTCTCTTGGCACACACACCCTTCAGCCATTATGCAGAACAGTTTACCCCGCGTCCTGTAAAACGGCCTCATGTTCTCGAGTAATGGATGGGATTAAATGAGTTTCTGGAGACGTGTGCCGTATCATTAATGACTCCTCACCGTTGCCAGACACTTCTGGCGTTCTCCAAATATAAACCAGTGTCCAGGTTTTGTGCTCCGGACTCCCAGTTCTCAACTTCATCTTTGTTCAGAGCATGAAGTGAACTTTTTGTCAAAACTAGCTCTCAAAGGCACCGATTCAGAGTTTTTGGATTTAGTAACTAGTTAAGCAACGGTCCGCCTTCCACCAGCATTTCTTTCTAATGCTGTAATGAGTAATGGCCTGTTATCCGCCGCTCGGAGAACACGTGAAAGTGTTTAGAGCCAAACACACTGCGATCGCTTCAACACCTGCATTTAGATATATCTACTCAGAGTTTAAGGGTATAGTTTACATCAGAAGCGCATCGCATTCACTTGAGGAAACAAAATCTACTCTGTTTTTATGAATTAACAAGTTAATTTTCTCAGAATTACGAGACAATTTTTCATGGAAAAAAGTTTTCGCTTTTTTCTGAATTAACGAGTTCATTATCTCAGAATTACGAGAATTTTTTTCTTGGGAAAAAAGTTTTTACGCTGTTTTTCTGAATAAACGAGTTAATTATCTCAGAATTACGTGATCATTTTTCATGAAAAAAGTTTACGCTGTTTTTCTGAATTAACGAGTTAATTATCTCAGAATTACGTGATAATTTTTCAAGGAAAAAAAGTTTACGCTGTTTTTCTGAATTAACGAGTTGATTATCTCAGAATTACGAGACAACTTTTCAAGGAAAAAAGTTTACGCTGTTTTTCTGAATTAATGAGTTGATTATCTCAGAATTACGAGACAATTTTTCATGGAAAAACGTTTACGCTGTTTTTCTGAATTAACAAGTTAATTATCTCAGAATTACGAGACAACTTTTCATGGAAAAACGTTTACGCTGTTTTTCTGAATTAACAAGTTAATTATCTCAGAATTACGAGACAATTTTTCATGGAAAAACATTTACGCTGTTTTTCTGAATTAACGAGTTGATTATCTCAGAATTACGAGACAATTTTTCATGGAAAAACGTTTACGCTGTTTTTCTGAATTAACAAGTTAATTATCTCAGAATTACGAGACAATTTTTCATGGAAAAACGTTTACGCTGTTTTTCTGAATTAACAAGTTAATTATCTCAGAATTACGTGACAATTTTTCATGGAAAAACGTTTACGCTGTTTTTCTGAATTAACAAGTTAATTATCTCAGAATTACGAGACAATTTTTCATGGAAAAACATTTACGCTGTTTTTCTGAATTAACGAGTTCATTATCTCAGAATTACGATACATTTTTTCAAGGAAAAAAGTTTTTACGCTGTTTTTCTGAATAAACGAGTTAATTATCTCAGAATTACGTGATCATTTTTCATGGAAAAAAGTTTTTGTGCTGTTTTCTGAATTAACGAGTTAATTATCTCAGAATTACGAGAGAACTTTTCAAGGAAAAAAGTTTACGCTGTTTTTCTGAATTAACGAGTTGATTATCTCAGAATTACGAGACATTTTTTCATGGAAAAAAGTTTTTACGCTGTTTTTCTGAATTAAACGAGTTGATTATCTCAGAATTACGAGACAATTTTTAATGGAAAAAAGTTTTTGCTCAGTTTTTATGTATTAACAAGTTAATTTTGTCAGAATTATGAGACGATTTTTCATGGAAAAAAGTTTTTGCGCTGTTTTTCTGAATTAACGAGTTCATTATCTCAGAATTATGAGACATTTTTTCATGTAAAAAAGTTTTTACGCTGTTTTTCTGAATAAAGTTGAAGTAAAGTTGGTAAATCATCGTTAGTAATTTAAATAAAGCTGAAATAAAACGAAACAAAAATAAGAAATGGTGCAGAAAAGTTGAAGTACTAAAATTACTGACAGAAAAAATGACAACTAAAACTATTAAAAGTCGCTTTCATTAATTGAAATAAAAACTTGAGAGGAATAAGATCAGTGAAGAGCGACACAAAAACAACTTAAAAAAATGATATGAACAATAATAAGTTATGACAACATGTTTTAAAAAAAAATTAAATTAGTTAACACAAGTTACGCAAGATTCAACACATTTTTAATCAAGTCAGTTTAATGTAAATTAAGTTGAAAAAGTTGATTGTACTTAAAATTTTAAGTTGAGTTGAGTTTAAAAGACCTGATGATGAAAGTCTTTATGAAACACAACACGAGTAAATGACCCGAAAATCGTGTGTTGTTCTGCACTTTCAATGTTGTTTCCATGTAAAAAAATAAAAATAAAAAATTAAAACTGAACTAAAACTATTAAATGTCTACTAGTAGATGTCTTGTTATTGTAATGTTCAGCGAGTGTGATCTGATATTAATGAACGGGCGGCCTTGAACAGGTTTGATCTTGATAAACTCTCCCGCTGAATATTTCTGATCTTACGGGAGAAACTCAGAACTGTCCTGACTTGTAACATATAGATTATATATTTATATTCGCAGACAACACACCCACGCAGGATTTAGACGGCGGAGAGCGTGAGTATCTGATTTATGGTCACCTGTGGGTTTGGGGAAAGATGAGCCAAAGGTTGTGTTTCGCTCGAGGCTCGAGTCAGACGCCACGTGTGAGAGAAGTGAGGGTGTTGGGTTAACTTAAAAAAAGGACGTTTCCTGGTTTCCTTAAAAATTTGAGTTCATTGAAATTAAACATTTAAAAGGAGATTGGTTTAATAAATATGACCCTGGACCACAGTCACATGGGTCAATTTTTTTGAAATCGAGATTTTTAATTCATCAATATATAAGTTTCCGTTGTTGTATGGTGTGTTAGGATAGGACAATAATTGGCCGAGATACGACTGGAATCTGCCGGGGGGGGGAAAACAAAACATTGAGAAAATCGTCCACAAAAATAAATGTTTTATATATTTATGGCAGGAAAATTACTAAATATCTTCATGGAACATGAATGAATTTGGTATAAAATTAAAATCGATATCTTTGGATATTGCCACAGATACACCCGTGTGACTTGAGATCCAGGGTCACAAATAGAAACTCAAAATATTTTGTTATCTGACCCACGTTAATTATCCAAGTTGATTTGACTAAAGATAAAAAGTTATGATTACAAATTTTCATTTATTAATCGGTAATGTTCAGATCTCAGTGTCACGTCTCTGACTGTGATTGTAAAGTTACAGACGCTGAAAATAAAGAAACAGTGGATGAAGCCACAGATCTTACAGGTACACACACACACACACACACACACACACACTAAAGTAAAGCACCTCACACTGATTTTGCCATTACTATGAGGTGTAGCTAAAACACGTTATTGTGCAAATAAGCGACTGCAACGCATTAAAAGTTTCTGTTTTCTGTTAAAAAGTGGCCCAAAGTTAATCACTAATAATCTTTTTATCATTGCTAATCCAAATTATCTTTATCTGGACAGTAACTCTATTCTAGATCTGCTGTAAAGCCTAAACACTCTCTGTTACTGTAATCTCCTGTTATCACTGTAAAGCTGCTGTTAAACTCTATACTGTTAAAGTGCTGTAGAAATGAAGGAGACTCTACTTAAAATGCACAAAACATGATTTTTATGTGTGTGTGTGTTCACATAGAAGGGCCAAAACTAAGTTTCATACCATTTCGGTGAAGTAAAAAAAAAAAAAAAAAAAAAAAAAATGGAATTAAAAAAGAAATTTTTTTAAAATTTTTTATTTAAAATCCTTTTTAGTAATAAAAAAAGATTAAATAAAATATAGATGAAAAACTTAAACTAAACAAAAATGTAAAATAAGTTTAATAGTTAAAGTTGCTAACTGTAAATAAACAAATAAATAAAAACTGAAGAAGTAAAACAAAGCTGATATGAAATAAAATATAAAAATGAGATTAAATAAAATTGGAAATTTTACCTTTTGGCAACTAGAATTACGTTCGAATAAAAAAAAATGAAAAAAAATAAATAAATTAAACCTAAATAGACAGATAAAAAATAATAAAATGACAAACAATTTTCAATAAAAAAGAAAAAGAATTGAAACTATTAATAAAACCTACAACTTGCATATATAAATAACATTAATTTGATGCAGATAGTCTTTTTGTTATTAATCGTCAATGATTCATAATAATCCGAATATTCCGCCTGCAGGTAATAAAGGCTGTTAGTCAATGCATTCATACACAATCCGAGTCAGAGCGATCGGTGTAATGATGACACACCTTGAAATATTGTGATTTATTGTCGTTTTGTGTTGTTAATAGAGACTGAAACTGAAGAGACGAAGCCTGATTCAGGTACAGGTTTACAACACACCTGAGCAAAACTACATCAACACATCATCTGCCATGTATTGAGGGTTTTCAGCTCATGTGTGTGTGTGTGTGTGTGTGTTTCCCAGACGCTACCGAGGACGAGCAGCCAGCGACAGAACCAGCAGGTAATATAAAAACACACACACACAACAGACGATAACATAGATATGATATAACACAACACGAATATTAAAATCAGTCATACACTCAATTGGGTCGTTTTAACCCAATTTTGGGTCAAATACGTACAAACCCAAATGTTGGGTTAAAAATGTAATTTATAAATTAACCCAATGGCGGTGTTTCTCCATATTTGACCCAAAATTGGGTTAAAACAACCCAGAATTTTTTAGTAGACCTTCAAAATATGTGATATGTGCGATATGCGTGTTTCGATATGGAGTGAAGTTGTGGAACAGATTAAGTTCAGTACTTAAACAATGCCCAAGTATGACTCAGTTTAAAAAGCATTGTAAAAATATGATATTTGCAAGGTATAGAGAGGATGAAGGTTATTAGTTAGGTGATAGTTTATTTATATATTTTTCTTTTTATTTTTCTCTTTTTATTATTATTAGTTTTTATTTATTTTCTGTATATACACATAGGTAGATATGTATGTTGTTTTTGTTTTTGGTGTGTGTTTTTCAAAATATTCGGTCAACCGGTTAATTAGTTATAATTAGTTGAACATTTTTTTTTTTTTTACAAAATATGAGGAAAATATTTTACATTTATAATATGTGGGGAAAAACCTGACTAAACTATTTGGCAAAAAAGTCAAACTGGACAGGTTTTATTTTAGTATGCAAAAAAAAAAAAAAAAAAAAGACTACAACATAATCAGTTATTAATATTTGGTTAGTTCTCTCTTATTTTTGCATGCGTTCATAATTTCTTTGCATCACAATCTGGCCAGAAATCATGTTAACGTTGTTATCACTAATAAAACAATGAATACACAATATGACTAAAATATTATAATATGAAGACGTGAGTTTCCCTGGGCATCACTTTTGGACGCCATCATGGAAATTTCTCAAAGATAATTCTAGTTATGTTCAGCATTTAAATATTCCATCGCTAGAAGAGGATTTTTAAACCATCCTGTAATCATGAAGGACTGGAAAACTCATCGGGTCTGTAATAATAATGTGGTTTTGACTATTACATTTTTTGCCGCTTCGGTAAGAGAGTCGGTAGCCGAAATGCAGTGAAAAAACCAGATGCGATGTTTAATATGTGAATCACCGGCGAGTCGGACAATCGTCCCGTTCACACATTCCTCCAGGACTGATGTTATCAGATTAAGTGATGCTATAACCACACATATTTCACATAAACAAACATCATCATCTGCATCTGACTCATGTTTCCCTCGTCAGCTGAAGAGAAACCTGATGAAGAAGAAGCTCCTGTTGAAGCAGGTACTGTAGAAATATGACACTTCACACTCGGTGTGTTTCCACTGACTCTGCTCGAAGTGTGTGTGTGTGTGTGTCCAAGTCCAACTTTGTGGCATTCTCAAATAGCTTTCCCAAAAAGTTATCTGGGCCAAACTCATCCTTATTTAGTTTTCCCCCAAGCTCATAATAGTGGGGTGCTTAACTTAAAGTGGCCCGTTATGCTTTTCAATGCCTTTCGGTTTTGAGCGGTTTATGAATGTAAAAGTTTTAACGATCAAAGTGCACAACAAATAAAGTTATTGTCTCCTAAAAGAAAGATTTGATTCTGAACTGCAGAAACGAGTCGTCAGCAAGTCCTTTTTTTGTTATACCTATGTAGCAAATTTGCATAATGGTCTTCATTGGCTGTCGGTGAACATGTCTACTTAGCTCCGCCCTTAAACACTAGTTGTATCTGAGACTGGAAGAGTTTGTTTCGTGTTTTCTGCTGACAAAGCAAATCCAGTTAATCCACTTTGACGATATTGATACGGTTAAACGCACGCCATCGTTTTTGAGATGAAATTCAAATTTGGTGATGGGCGTTTAATTCTCAACACACGGTTGACCAATCAGAGCAGAGTAGACTCTCAGAAAGGCGGGGCTTAAAGAGACTGAATCTTTATCGAAAACACTGAGAAATGAGATGATTCTGCAATGTTTATAATGAGAAAATTAGTGTTTTTTGACTTTGGATGCATGTAAATCTATTATAGGAGACTCCAAAACAAGCGTTAAAATAGCATAAACGGGGCTGAAATATTATGTTTTATTGTGGCAATTCATATTTGTCTACAAAACTAATTTCTGAAGAGTTTACATCAATGCAAGTATAAATTCAAGTGTGCATGCTAAAAATATTCAGTCCCAAATTTAAGATTTATGTATTTGAATTGCAAATAACATTTGGTTGTGTTTAACAATCGAATAAACTTAATGTGATGCATATTTGTCAGTCATTGATGAATAAAACAGGATGCGTTTTAAATACACAATAATAATCCAATTTCTTCCAACCTCACACTGAATATTGCTTGTTCCACAACTATAGCTTTTATGTTTTCACAATGAACAGATGTATGCTGAATCTTATCCATTTCAATAAATGCAGTTTTACATCAAATCAAATCGATGCAAATAAATAATAAACTGTTTTTTTAGTACACTTAATTAATGCATGAGTGCCAAATATGCATCACATTAAGTTTTTAGTGCATGTTAACGGTGTAATGCAAATGGATGGACATTTTATATGCAATTGAAAGAGTGCGACTTAAAAATCATTGTACTGATCATTGTTTTTTTGTATCTGTTGTACAGAAGGTGAAGGCGACGCACCGGACACAGGTTGGCAGAACGTTTATATGATGTTCTTGCACGTACTGTACATTTGTAAACTGCTGTTATTTTAAGTTTACAGATATTGCTTTGGTTTTCAGAAGCTGATCCGCTTGCTGAAGAGACTGACGTTACTGAACAAGGTTTCATTTATTCTTTTATCTCTCGGTTTGATCTTATCTTTATCTCGCAGTTTAATCTTTTCAAAGCCACAATTTGACGTCATGTATAAACTTTGCTTTGTTGCTGTTGCATAGAAACAAAATGTTAACCTATAACAGAGTCATCACATTACTCTAATGTTATATCAATGGTTACATCAATCTTGAGATATTAAAAAAAATGTCTGATATTATTTAAAAATGTTAAATAATAAAAAATGTCTCCCCTGGAGTTGCTGGTCAGATAGGACCTTCTATCTCAGGCGAGGGGAGCAATCCTCCATCCCCGCCCAGAAACATCCAACCTCTGAGGGGTCCCAACTCATAGACTCTGGTCTCTCAACCGAGCTTGTAGACCATACTAAACTCCAGATTTCTGTCCACGAGCTGAAATGGAGAGTTTTTAGTGTAATCAATGGGATCCAGTTAATTACACTGCAGGCATTTATTGCAGTGAACATGCTTTCCTATCTTTATCATCACAGATCTTTGACTTGTTCGCTGGTTTAGACTACATCTAAAAAAAAAGGTCTGTTTCCCTTTGTCAGAAATCAAGCCAGAAGAAGCTGCAGATGAAGTAGAAAAAGAACCAGCGCCAGAGAGTCCAGATCAAGAAGAACCGGTCCAAGAGGAACCAGCGCCAGAGAGTCCAGATCAAGAAGAACCGGACCAAGAGGAACCGGACCAAGAGGAACCGGACCAAAAAGAACCAGAGCCAGAGAGTCCAGATCAAGAAGAAACAGCACCAGAGAGTCCAGATCAAAAATCGGACCAAGAAGAACCGGACCAAGAAGAACCGGACCAAGGTAACAAGGAAAAGTCATAAACATGCATGTTTAAGAATGTTGAGAGAATGCTGGGAATTACAAAAAATAAGCAATCAGCTCTTTGTAAAATGAATTGACATATTCCTCAGGTTCAGGGATTTGTTACAAAACCCAGTGCGTTGCCTATTTTAAGGCATCATAATTAGATAGCACATTTTGACCAGATTCAGAAACAAAATTTACATCTATCCATTAAAACAGAATTGAAATTAAATCAATATGAAAATGATTGTAAGAACTCAATCTAATTAGATATAGATAGTGTTTTGAGTATTGTATTTGTATTGTAAAAAAAAAAGGTAAGCTACTTTTGAACTCACAGTCTAGAGTTTTTTTTCTCAGAAAAAGCTCAAGCTTAAGCTTCCATAGGACACATTTCAGTTATTAACTCGATCCCCATCAGCGTCTTTTAAAAAGTTGCCAGTCAGAGTAGCATTACTAGTTTAATTTAGGTTCCAATACAATTTAACCGAGAAAGTTCTGCACACTGTTTTCCATTTTGAGGCAGTCGAGGTGTCGGACATTAACCTCTTGTCAAATCTCAAAGGTCAACTGGGCCTTTTGTTGACCTAATCAGGCTCAAAGAGTTACACTGTTATGCTGATGGAATCAGGTAACCAGCTGAATTTACATACTCTGTTTCAGAGTGTCTCCACCTCTATGTAACCCCTACCCCTTAAAAAAGGCATATAAGCTACAATGTCTATATCAACTGCCTAAGCAAACTTGGCTAAGATGTTGGGACGAAGCAGACCACAGCGATGCAACAGCAATAACGAACCCTGCTTAAAAAGATAAACCCGAGCCTCCTGGTCTTCGCTTCATTTTAGAAGGAAAAACTTCACAACATCAGCATCAGCATTTTTTATGAAATAAATTGCCCCGCTCAATATTTTGTTTTCTATACAGTCAATATATGAAAAGAAGGAACAAAGCCTCTGCTTTAAAAAAAAAAAAACTTTTGAACAAAAGCTGAGAAATTGAAAAGCTGAGATTCCGAACGATGATCATTTTAATATTTTATATATACTGCAAAATTATTTTAATGACAATTAAGCACATACATCAAACTGAAATGTAAAAAATAAATAAATAAATAACACTTATTTCAATTTTGAAGTATTTTTACGTTATGGTAGTATTTGTTGTGCTGCGGCTAATATTTGCTTAATTTAAATGTTTGTTTAAAATAATTAATGAGAATATTAGGAATAATGATTATAATAATAGGAATTCAAAACTCAAATATATTACAGTAATGAGAGTTTGGTTGAAAACGCATTATAGTCATGAATATAAAATAATTTAATAAGAAATTTTGATGTGATGTGTCATGAGATTCACAGGAATATAGTCATTTTGTCGCAGTGTTTTCTTTCATATTTAGTCTGAAATGTGTGTTTTTTCTCAGACCTCGGTGTCGTCGCAGAGAAGCCAGTGGAAACCGATGAAGCAACGAAAGGTTCGACTCCGGATTATCAGTAATGCAGTCTGACACCATGAATCTGTGTTTACATGTGTGTTTGTGTTTCTCCAGTTCATTCTAGACGAGTTGATCCTTCTGATGCGCTCAGTGAAGACACAGGTACGCCATAATCTCATTATCATTAACAGAAACTACATCAATTACTCCTGAGTAATACACTAATATAAATATTGAACTTTTTAATGCATGCTATTCTGAATGCAATGCATAGAGTGAATAAATTTCAGGCTGAGTGATTAATGAGAGATTTCTGCTTACAGTCGAGGGTGCAGACAAGCAGAGCGCAGATCAGGGCAAAGGTGCTCAGATTTACATTTAGATCTTACATCTGTAAACTTATCATTCATATTTTTAAGGTTAGGTCAAATCAGTCGAGTCATAAACCTAAATAACTCACAAAAAACTCAAAATATATGTGTTTGTAGTCAATTAAATAACGTTTTTTATGTTAATCACAAATGTAAGGGTAAATAAAACAACCATTCAAGTAGATAATCACTGCAAAAAATGTCTTCTTTTTCAGCACAAATATCTAAACATTCTTAAATCAAGATACATTTACTAGAGAAGAACAATAAGGGGAGATATTAAGACTTGTTTATTGAAAAACTGACCAAAATTAAGTGAGTTTATGCTTAAAATAGTCATTTTCCCTTTGAATTACAATGATTTTCCTGCCCATCAATTTTAATGATATTTTCAGTTTTAAGCATCAATTTTAATGATATTTTCAGAATATCTTCAGCCATTTTGCTTCTCCAGTAAATGTTTAGATATTTGTGCTGGAAAATAATACAAAAATAAAAAGTGACAAAACAACTCATCAGGATTTTTATAGGCAGGATTTGTTATCTTTCCCAGAAACAAAAAAAAAAATACATTATAATAAAATATATATTTAATACACTGTCTACATTGTAATTGTATGTTCTTCATATTTCACCAATATGGTTATTGCTCATTGTTCTCTTTACTATTACAGCTCGCAGTGCAGGAGCCGCTTCTGGCCCAAAAGGTATCATACTTTTTTTAATATACATGTTTGTGATCTTATGGTCCTACATTGTGTGTCTGTGGGATTATTTTCACCTGTTTTCTGCTCTTCTTTAGGTGAACGTCTCTCGTACATTAGTAATTGGCACAGACTTTACTCAGTTAGACGTCATATTGCATGAAAACGAGGCTGTGAGGGACAGACTAAAGCCTTTACATCTGTATAAAAGTCCTAGATCACCTCACTTTCACAGCAAACATTATCAGAATGCTGTTAAACAACATTACAATCCACTGAACACACGGTTTCTCTATTCCTCACCGCCTCATTCTTGTGAAGGATTAAACACACTCTCCTGATCATCACTAAAGACAGTGATGCATGACTTCACAAACACCATTAATAACACGATCATGAGTTGATCATCTTTAATACCTGCCGCTCCACCCAATCTAACACACAGAACAAACACACATCAACCGATATACACGTCACGTTTGCATACAACACACGCATTGACGTTATTAAACAAACAGTCTGACTAATATCATCTAACATATTTGATGATTGAAAGAAAACAATAGGAAGACATGTTGAAGTCGTCAAAAAAGGTCTTATAAATTATGACAAAAGGCCAAGTATGAGATTGAAAAAGTGAAATTACAAGATTAAAAAGACAAAATTAGAAGACATAAATCAGAAATAGGCATGTTAATCATCAGTCGAAATAAACAATTATGAGAAAAACAGTGGAAATTGACAATTATGAAATTATGAATGATCTTTTTTTTTGGAGATTGGCGTTATGAAACGATAACATTCTGACTAGCATGTTTCTTGGAAGACTGAAAATAATACAAGTTTGGATATGAAAAATCATAATGATGACAAAAGGCCAATTATGAGATTTAAAAAAATCATAATATTGAGATTGAGGTTAAAGATTCTGATTAACATGATCTAACATGTTCGACATTTGAGCAGAAATTCAGAAACAAAACAAAAAATCATATTTTTGCCAAACATTTGCCTGGTTAAAACACAAACAAACAATATATTGACCATAAATGGTCTAGTTTTCCTTTTCTCTAAAATGTTCTCCAGTTTTGACACATTTACCCAATTCATCATGGGACTCTCGTGCTTGTTATGTAAATTGCATATTAATATGATCCATATGACGAATCATGCAATATTGTCTAAAGAGGAAATGTCTTTTTAAACGTACAGAAGCTAATATTCACCATATATAAAAAAAAATACATTCTTTGGTAAATCATAATTATAAGATAGAAAGTCACAAGTGTGAATTAAAAGTCAAAAATATGAGGGAAAAAAGGGAAAAATTGTTAATTAAAAGTCAAAATTCTGCCGAAAAAAAGTCACAATTATGACATGCTAAGTCATAACTGACATAAGAAGTCAAGATTCTAAAATAAATGTCAGAATTTTTAATTTTTATGTCACTTTTTATGAGTTTAAATGGGATTCCAAATAAGCCTGGAGTGGCTGTATTCTAATGCTGCCATCTAGTGGATCAGTGTGTGAATCTCCTGTTGCTGTCTATCCACTGATATTATACAGTATAAACATAATCAGTGTTTTTGAGCTTGACAGACTGATGTTGAAGAGCTTTGTGAAATCTCTGAGTAAAGAAACGACGATTAGGAGACACCATCCCTCTGAGAGCTGATCTGTGTTTGCTCTGACCTCAGTGAACGAGCAGATCTTTGTGTCTGTTAGATTGGGTGGAGCGGCGGGTGTTATAAAAGATCAACTCATGCGGATGCGGATCGTGTCATTAGTGGTGTTTAAGTCAAGCATCGCTGTCAGTAGTGCTCTGTGTTTGGGGTTTGTCAAAATCCCTATAAGGGAAATCTTTTAATGCAGGAACTACAGACCAGAAGATCAGTGAATTTTCACGCAGAACCCCCTTAACGACTACCTAGCAACACCTTGACAACCACCCAGAACCTTCTAACGTCTATCTAGAAATCCCCCTAGCAACCACCCCTACAACTACGCATCAACATCCTAACAACCGTCCAGAACCCTCTTGTGACTACATAGCAACACCCTAGCAACCACTCAGGACCCTTAACGACTACCTAGCAATGCCCTGTCAACCATGCATTATACCCTAACAACTAATAAGCAACAACCCAGAACTCTCTAATCTCTATCTAGCAACACCCTAGCAACCATCCCAACAACTACTTATCACCCTATCAACCAGCCAGAATCCCCTAACAAATACGTAGCAATGCCCTCGCAACCACCCAGAACCCGCTTATAACTGCATAGTTACTCCCTAGCAACCATTTAGAACCCCTTAATGACTGCCTAGAAATTCCCCATCAACCATCCATAATAGCCTTACAACTACCTAGCAATGAGCTAGCAACCACCCAGAATCCCTTAACGTCTATCTAGCAATGCCCCTAGCAACCACCCCTACAACTATGTATCAACATCGTACGAACTGCCCAGAACCCCTCTTGTGACTACATAGCAACACCCTAGCAACAACTCAGGACCCTTAACGACTACCTAGCAATGCCCTGTAAACCGTGCATTATACCCTAACAACTAATTAGCAACAACCCAGAACTCTCTATCTAGCAACACCCTAACAACCACCCCAACAACTACCTATCACCCTATCAACCAGCCAGAATCCCCTAACAAATACGTAGCAATGCCCTCGCAACCACCCTCTTATAACTGCATAGCAACTCCCTAGCAACCATTTAGAACCCCTTAATGACTGCCTAGCAATTCCCCATCAACCATGTATAATAGCCTAACAACTACCTTGCAATGAGATAGCAACCACCCAGAATCCCCTAACAAATACAGACAGTACATACTAAGGTTAGCAACCATCCTTAACCCCTTAATGACAACGCCCTAGGAACCGCCTGGAAAACCCTTAATGACATACAGTACCTAACATTGGCCTAGCAAACTATGCAGTAACAACTTTGCCCAACAACTATGCAGTAATACACTAGGAGCAACCCATAACCCCTTTATTGACTACATAACAATGCCCTAGTAACCACTCATAAGTTCCTAATGATTACCTAGCAATGCCTTAGCAACCATCCAGAATACCTTAATCACTACATAGCAATGCCCTAGTAACCACTCAGAACCCCCTAATGATTATTTAGCAATGGCCTAGTAACCACTAGAGCTCCCTAACAACTACCTAGCACCCTAGCAACGCCCTAGCAACGACCCAGAACACACGAGGAGCCGTATAGTAACTTACTGTGTGTTTGGTTGTGTTCCAGACAGTGGATCCGGTACGGTTGTTGGCGTGGTCTGTGGGATTGCAGTAGCAGCGGTCGGTGCCATAACTGGATACTTCACCTATCAGAAGAAGAAACTGTGCTTCAAGGTCCAGAGAGGTCTGCGGCCCGAACCAGTAGCACATAATCATAGTTACTCATCATATGCTAATTGTTGAATATGAACATGTGCTTTCTCTTCAGGTGACCCAGAGATCGCCACAGAAAAAAACGGCACTCAGAGCGACCCACAGGGTGAGCCAATCACAGCTTCAGAAATATGTGTTTCACTGAATATGGTTACATATATGGCATTATAATATAGCAGCATAAACAAGTGCTTCAGCTATCGTTCCCTCTGGGGTGAGGGACTTATGGGTCGGGTTTGGTTTAGGAAATGGTTAGGATTACATTTTCAGACAGGAATGTTGTTCCAGGATCAACAAAATATGTCGAGAACGCAGAAACGCAAAATCAGGACGTGCTTAGAGATGCACGATTCTGGACAAACTAAACACAACATACTACAAATGTTAATGCTGCAGTCTATTTAAAATGTTTAATGAATCTGAATGAATTATTTAAAAAAAATCAGGTTGAGGGAATGATTCAATGACTCACTCATAATGACTTCACTTGTTTCATAACCAGATCAATCCACATTTTTAAAAAAAAATCTCTTAAATGATTCAAAGACTCACTACTTGTTTCATAACCAGATCAATCCACATTTTTTAAAACAAATCTCTTAAATGATCCAATGAGTTGCTTCATTACTAGATGAATCAGCATTTTTAAAACAATTCTCTTAAATGATTCAATGACTCACTACTTGTTTCATAACCAGATCAATCCACATTTTTTAAAACAAATCTCTTAAATGATTCAATGACTCACTACTTGTTTCATAACCAGATCAATCCACATTTTTTAAAACAAATCTCTTAAATGATTCAATGACTCACTACTTGTTCCATAACAAGATCAATCCACATTTTTTAAAACAAATCTCTTGAATGATTTAATGACTCACTACTAGTTTCAAAACCAGATCAATCCACATTTTTAAAACAAATCTCTTGAATGATTCAATGACTCACTACTTGCTTCATTACTAGATGAATCAGCATTTTTTGAACGAATCTCTTGAATGATTCAATAAGTCACTCAGAATGACTGCACTTGTTTCATAACCAGATCAATCCACATTTTTTAAAACAAATCTCTTAAATGATTCAATGACTCACTACTTGTTTCATAACAAGATCAATCCACATTTGTAAAACAAAACTCTTAAATGATTCAATGACTCACTACTTGTTTCATAACCAGAGCAATCCACATTTGTTTAAAACAAATCTCTTAAATGATTCAATGACTCACTACTTGTTTCATAACCAGAGCAATCCACATTTTTTTAAACAAATCTCTTAAATGATTCAATGACTCACTACTTGTTTCATAACCAGATCAATCCACATTTTTTAAAACAAATCTCTTAAATGATTCAATGACTCACTACTTGTTTCATAACCAGATCAATCCACATTTTTTAAAACAAATCTCTTAAATGATCCAATGAGTTGCTTCATTACTAGATGAATCAGCATTTTTAAAACAAATCTCTTAAGTGATTCAATGACTCACTACTTGTTTCATAACCAGATCAATCCACATTTTTAAAACAAATCTCTTAAATGATCCAATGAGTTGCTTCATTACTAGATGAATCAGCATTTTTAAAACAATTCTCTTAAATGATTCAATGACTCACTACTTGTTTCATAACCAGATCAATCCACATTTTTTAAAACAAATCTCTTGAATGATTCAATGACTCACTACTTGTTTCATAACCAGATCAATCCACATTTTTTAAAACAAATCTCTTAAATGATTCAATGACTCACTACTTGTTTCACAACCAGATCAATCCACATTTGTTTAAAACAAATCTCTTAAATGATTCAATGACTCACTACTTGTTTCACAACCAGATCAATCCACATTTGTTTAAAACAAATCTCTTGAATGATACAATGACTCACTACTTGTTTCATAACCAGATCAAATCTCTTAAATGATTCAATGACTCACTACTTGTTTCATAACCAGATCAATCCACATTTTTTAAAACAAATCTCTTAAAAGATTCAATGACTCACTACTTGTTTCATAACCAGATCAATCCACATTTGTTTAAAACAAATCTCTTAAATGATTCAATGACTCACTACTTGTTTCACAACCAGATCAATCCACATTTGTTTAAAACAAATCTCTTAAATGATTCAATGACTCACTACTTGTTTCACAACCAGATCAATCCACATTTGTTTAAAACAAATCTCTTGAATGATACAATGACTCACTACTTGTTTCATAACCAGATCAATCCACATTTGTTTAAAACAAATCTCTTAAATGATTCAATGACTCACTACTTGTTTCACAACCAGATCAATCCACATTTGTTTAAAACAAATCTCTTGAATGATACAATGACTCACTACTTGTTTCATAACCAGATCAAATCTCTTAAATGATTCAATGACTCACTACTTGTTTCACAACCAGATCAATCCACATTTTTAAAACAAATCTCTTAAATGATTCAATGAGTTGCTTCATTACTAGATGAATCAGCATTTTTCAAACAAATCTCTTGAATGATTCAATGCCTCACTCATAATGACTGCACTTGTTTCATAACCAGATGAATCAGCATTTCTTTGAACTGTTTATCGTGCATCTCCACACTGGTGTGAACAGCTAAGTGTGTAACACACATGTTTATTCTGCTTTTCACACACAGTTTCCAGCACTCTCCTGGATTCGCCTTAACTCTCTGAGGCGGAGGATTCCCATGAAGCTACTGTGAACCGCTGCACATCTAAACTACTCGTTCTCATCTCGAGAATCAGAGTGAACTTCACACACACACACACACACACACACGATTCATGCATTCACAGTGCAGCACAAACACTCATTTACCGCTCCTGACGCAGATCATTGTCTCATAACACCATCTCCTCTGCTTCGACACCAGTTCTCAACTAGCACATAGAACTGTTAATCATTTGTTTTGAATGTAATTTCACATAGTTTGAATGGGACGGGATGCGTGCATGTGTATCGTGTGTGTGATTGGACGGCCTCATGAGAGGCGTTTCATCGCGTTACTTTAAAAGTGTCATGTAGTTTCGCTAAGTGCTTTTAATCACACAGGTTTGCTTGATGTTTAATTGTTGCCGCTGATTCATAAAAAGCGAATCTCACACCCTGGAATGATTCACTTTGAAAATGTGTTGTCTGACCAAATAGAATTCATAGGATTGTTTTTCTTTCTATTTTGTTTTTGTTATTTTAAATTGTGTAAATAATTGTTGAGTTTGAATAAAGGGTTGGTTACATGAAATGACTACGTTCACAGTTTTTTGCACACAGATTCATAATGCAATGAATTAATGACACAAACCAGAAGCGCACAAAAATTGAAAGCCAATCGAATTATTGTAGCTATATAATAATAATAACGGTGCAAATTATTTGTAATAGAATTATTAAGTTACACTATTTTAAGGTGTTTAGAGTAATAATAATTAACTGCATGTACATACTATAGGGTTAATTGCATGTAATCATGCATAATTTGCCGTTATTACTACAGTAACTACTAGTGACATGTGTAACACTGTAAAATAAGGTGTTACCAATAATAATAGCAATAATTTACATTGTGGTATAATGCATAGCTAGGGATGGGCAACGATTAATCGCATCCAAAATAAAAGTTTGTGTTTACATAATATATGTTTGTGTAGTGTGTATATAATTCATTTGTATATATAAATACCCACACATGCATGTATATATTTAAGAAATATGTGCATGTATATATTTATTCACAATTAATATTATATATAAATATTTGATATACTAATAACATATTTTTCTTAAATATATACATGCATGTGTGGGTATTTATATATACAAATTAATTATACACACTACACACACACACACATATATTATGTAAACACAAACTTTTATTTTCGATGCGATTAATCGCGATTAATCGTTGCCCATCCCTAAATAAAACAAATTAAGTGTTCTTTTAGGAACAATTAACCTTCATTAAGGAATTATTACCCATTATTGTAACCGTGGTGAACTCACCACAAGATTAGCTCATAATATTACTATAAAAACCTCAATGTAAATAATTATTATCATTATTAATAATAATAGTGGCAATTAAAGCTGCAAGCAGCATTTAGCGGGGTTCAAGCAGTTTAGGCCTTTAAGGCCTTTAAGCACAAAAACATCAAAAGACATTAAGGTTTAAGTTTCAATAATGGCAATTTACCATAGGGAATACATTGTTTTTAACATTTTTAACAGTTATAGCGCCACCTATAGTCCGATCTCCATGAAACTTTGCATGCTTGTTGAATAAGTTATGACACATGTGCTCATCAATTTTTGTGAAGTTCTGACTTTTCCTTTAGGATTTATAGGCTTTTGGGTGCATTTTGTCATGCCCCCTTTTATTAATGACCCTGTTATAGCAAAACAAATGACACAGTTCAACTTTTTTTGATAATTATTGATCTAGAGTGTCCAAAGAATTGTCCTAGACTGGTCTGGTTCCGATCGGGCAAAAAACCAGGGACTAGTTCGCAAAAGTAGGTTTTTAACATATTCGTGAATATTTAACGAACGATTTGATTGACAGCAATTGTTCTTGAGGCAAAGTTGTTCAGCGTGAGGAGATCTATCAATTGATATACATATTGTGGGGGTGTGTGCAACACCACGTGATAACAGAGCCATAAAACTCGTTAGCGCCAACTAGTGGCCAATTTCTTTCAAAATTCTTACAGACCTCTAGGGCCATGAGTCAAACATGCCCAACGAGTTTCGTTCTGATCGGCCTTCGTTAACCTTGTTTCATAGATGCACAAACTTCATTGGCCGATGGCGGCCATGTTTTTTTAGATACGCCAATGTCCTCATAGATATACATGGGGCCTTGGTCCAAGACACTGCAAACCAATTTTCAAGTCAATCGGACTAACGGTCATGTGGTCATAGCCCTTTTTATGTTTTTTTCATATTATAGCGCCACCTAGTGTTCAATCGTCGCTATTTTTTTACTGTGACCTCAAATTGAACTCGTACACATGTGTACCGAGTTTGGTGAAGATATCTTATTTACTTCTTGAGTTATAGCCAATTTAGTAAAATAGGCTCCTCCCACAACGTTTATTTTGCTTCCCCTAGCGACCGGAAATAGAAATTTCAACATTTTTTTGATAATTATTGATCTTCAGACTCCAGAGAACATTTCTGCACTGGTTTGGTTCCGATCGGGCAAAAAACCAGGGACTAGTTCGCAAAAGTAGTTTTTCGACAAAATTCAAAATGGCGGAAAAATTTCCATACCCGAAATGAAATCGGAGATATACGTTTTTTTCGTCAGGTGACCAGCTTTCCAATGATATAAGACACTTGAGTGTACGACTTACGGTCTAGGAGTTATGAGCCGTTTCGCGCAATTGGTCGCTATAGCGCCACCTATGGGCCAATCGGGCTCATAATTTGATAACCTCTCCTCGATTTTTGTACTACCATCTGACAAAGTTTCAGAGCTCCAGCCCTTACGGTTTGGGCTGCACGATGCGTTTTAGGGGAGAATAATAATAATAATAATAATTAAAGCTGCAAGCAGCATTTAGCGGGGTTCAAGCAGTTTAGGCCTTGAAGGCCTTTAAGCACAAAAGCATCAAAAGACATTAAGTTTTAAGTTTCAATAATGGCAATTTACCATAGGGTATACATTGTTTTTAATATTTTTAACAATTATAGCGCCACCTATAGTCCGATCTCCATGAAACTTTGCATGCTTGTTGAATACGTTATGACACATATGCTCATCAATTTTTGTGAAGTTCTGACTTTTCCTTTAGGATTTATAGGCTTTTGGGTGCATTTTGTCATGCCCCCTTTTTTAAATGACCCTGTTATAGCAAAACAAATGACAAAGTTCAACTTTTTTTGATAATTATTGATCTAGAGAGTCCAAAGAATTGTCCCAGACTGGTCTGGTTCCGATCGGGCAAAAAACCAGGGACTAGTTCGCAAAAGTAGGTTTTTAACATATTCGTGAATATTTAACGAACGATTTGATTGACAGCAATGGTTCTTGAGGCAAAGTTGTTCAGCATGAGGAGATCTATCAATTGATATACATATTGTGGGGGTGTGTGCAACACCACGTGATAACAGAGCCATAAAACTCGTTAGCGCCAACTAGTGGCCGATTTCTTTCAAAATTCTTACAGACCTCTAGGGCCATGAGTCAAACATGCCCAACGAGTTTCGTTCCGATCGGCCTTCGTTAACCTTGTTTTATAGGTGCTCAAACTTCATTGGCCGATGGCGGCCATGTTTTTTGAGATACACCAATGTCCTCATACACATACATGGGGCCTTGAACAAAGACACTGCATACCAATTTTCAAGTCAATCGGACTAACGGTCAGCTGGTCAGAGCCCTTTTTTAGTTTTATTCGTTTTATAGCGCCACCTAGTGTTCCATCGTGGCGATTTTTTTACTGTGACCTCAAATTGAACTTATACATATGTGTACCGAGTTTGTTGAGGATATCTCATTTACTTCTCGAGTTATAGCCATTTTAGTAAAATAGGCTCCTCCCACAACATTTATTTTGCGCCCCCTAGCGACCGCAAAGAGACTTTTTCAACATTTTTTTGATAATTATTGATCTTCAGACTCCAGAGAACATTTCTGCACTGGTTTGGTTCCGATCGGGCAAAAAACCAGGGACTAGTTCGCAAAAGTAGTTTTTCGACAAAATTCAAAATGGCGGAAAAATTTCCATACCGGAAATGAAATCGGAGATATACGTTTTTTTCGTCAGGTGACCAGCTTTCCAATGATATAAGACACTTGAGTGTACGACTTACGGTCTAGGAGTTATGAGCCGTTTCGCGCAATTGGTCGCTATAGCGCCACCTATGGGCCAATCGGGCTCATAATTTGATAACCTCTCCTCGATTTTTGTACTACCATCTGACAAAGTTTCAGAGCTCCAGCACTTACGGTTTGGGCTGCACGATGCGTTTTAGGGGAGAATAATAATAATAAATATAGCTGCGAGCAGCGATGGCGGGCCCAAGCCGGAGGCACCGCAACCCCGGTTCCTTTAGTTACCTAAAGGCACCCGGGTGGCGGTGCCGAAGGCTTTGGCCCTTTCATGATTAAATGTTAAAGCGGCTTGCCATACTCTGTCATTTCGACTAGTCACAATTATGTTACAGATATCTTAAATGATAATACAAACTATCCAAAGTGTAACGACTAGACAGAAAGACGTTGTTGATATCTACAATGTTAATTCCGGACAGGCAAACTTAGCTTTTAAATGTTAAAAGGGCTTGCCATACAGAGACGTAGGCTCAGAGAGAGGCTCACCATATTCAGACCAAAATATCTGACTTCCTCTTGGTCCGAGCTAATGACTATGTATTAGAAAGTTGTACGGCTTGAGGAGTACAATGTATATACCGATTTTTGTAACTGTAGATAAAACTAACAACCAATGTAGTAGCACTTCTCTTTTTTTGATTGGCTGATGCGTAGCAGGGTCGACTGCTGAACTCCAGGCGAGACGCGCTTGATTCTCACGTGAGAGCGGCGCGGCCAGAGAAATTGCGTATATTAAATATATTATTAATAGTTTTTCCGCATGAGAAATACAATGTGTGACGGGAGTGTGAGACAAAAGACTGAAACGAGTGACTGTCATGCTCAATGCGTGACACACTATAAAAAAATATTTCACACTGACTCCACATTTAGGGGGCCACAAGGGGGTCCAAGCTTGTTGTCGCAGGGGCACTGGCCCCCCCAGGCCCCCGCCTAGAACCGCCATTGCTCACACACACACACACACACACACACTTTCTCTCTCTCTCAATGTTGTGAATTAATCAGAATAGAAATGTGAATTTGTTATCTTTAATAATAACGGAAACAGTTTGACATTAATGGGGGTGTTCAGCTTTAAGAGAATTCTACCAATAATGCATCAGTGTATGTGAGGAAAAAAAAGAAAAAGAGATTGTTCCCATGTGCGAGCGCTGTATCTAATGATTCAAGTTCAGAAACTTCAGTAAACAGTTCAGTTTATTCAATTCAAGTCGTCAGTGGTCATTATTGCTGGTCAAGGAAGAAAATACACGACATTCTTTGGTGCCGAAACCCGGGATAACTTGCAAGCAACATCCGAAATGGCGGAGCAACTTGAAAGACTACACAGAAAACGGAGAGCTGTGCGCGGTTCCACGACGAGACTTTTGCAAGACATAGAAACGGAGGTTAGCAAGGAA